GATAATTAAGAGCTGAAAAGCGTTTCATTTCTGAATTTATTTACAGACCTTTTCACCACAACTGGTTTATTATTATGTAAGATGCAGCTCTATTTTGACAAAAAAAATGGACAAGCATTTTACTGCATAAACTGCGGTCAATGGAAGACTAAGATTTCTTGCTTTTGTTAGGCCCATGGCACAAACAGCAGCATTTTCTTGTTTTACCTGACATGACTGCAGAGATACCATCCCTGGGTTTTTTTGCAGAGATGGTCTCCAAAACTGAGGATTCTTTTTCATAAATTTTTTTATTCCATTCCGTTTTGAAAACCTTTCAAGATCTGCACAGATAGCTTCTTGAACAGTTTTGCACAAAAGTACACAACATAAGGATGGTTCAGGCCACTTGATGAAGGATATTCAGAAGACTTTTTATACAGTGCATCCACATGCATGATATTCTTAGTACAACCTGTCTTGCTCTACTCTTCTCCACCTGTATGTTACGCCTGTGCAAACCACTCTGTGCTTGTTTCATTCAGCTCAGGAATTCTGCTTCTTTCAAAAATACTTGGAGCTTCTGACTATATGCACTTATTAATATGCAGCTTTCCCAGTGGTGAGGGCTGAACTGGAACTGTTTTTCTAAGAGCAAACCTGATGTTATAGAAAGCAAGAATGCGTGATTTGTTGTACCTGACATTGTGGGGAGAGTCTCACAACCACAGAAAATAAACTCATGAAAGCAGCAGCAATTAAAAAAAAAAAGGTAACAGAATTAATTAAAACATGGGAGCAGCAAACCAAGAAATATGACAAGAGACATACTACAAATATTCAGAATAGATTGGTTAATTTGTCCTTAAGTGCTAAAAACCTCCTTGAAACATCAAGAATCAGCCACTATCAAAACAAGTGACAATACAGACAGAAGTCTTCCACATCTGTGGAAAAATTATGGGGAGAAAAATAAAAAACTCTGTTCAATTTAATGCACTGTGAATACCGCAAAGAAGATAATGAAATTAATTTTCTTATTAGTGAGGATCCTGAACTGTTGCCAAAAATGTCAGGAATCTTAACACAGAATTCTCACTACTGCAACCAACATTAGAAACTAAGAGTTAAAACAATGCCACACAATAAGGGCAGCAGGGAAGGTGGCTTCTAAACTTGAGATTACGATTAAAATAAATGTTCAGCTTTCCCTGGAAGTGTACTTATTTGAATGCTGTGAAACAGAAAACTGTGTACATATTAATATAAAATGAATATTTGCATGCCTGTATGTAATAGGAAGAATGCCATCTACTGGTAGATAAAAATATACACCACTGTTTCTAAGTTAGTAAAAGCTATCATAATAGGCAACAATGTTGTTATTACTATGTTCTACAAACAACAATGCCCAGTTTTAAACTCTGACTCATGCATTCAGCATACTACATTTTAGCAAATACATCAACATAAGCTTCTACCCATAAAACAGACCCACAAAAGAAGCAAATTTTAAGGACTTAACACCTTACTGCAGCCTACCAGTATCTAAAGGGGGCTTATAAGAAAGATGGGGATAGATATGACCACGCACAAGATACAGATTTGCAAAAGAACTACACACTTTCAAAAAAAAGGAAAATTTGGCCAAGCCAAAAAAAAACACCTCTAAAATCATAGGGCAAACCTTAGAGGTCTTCCATTCCTATGTTTATGCTTTTATGTATACACTGTCTTGTTCCTTTGTATTTGTTTGAGGGATAGTAAAGCACTGAAAAAAATAAATCTGAAAAAGAAATAAGACAAAAATTTAATAAAAGATATTAACTTTCTGGTTTACCTCATGTGAAAAGAGATGGGCTGTAACACTCTCATAAGTATGTATGGCCTTCCAACACAATACACTAAAAGCAGTATTGGGAATAAATTCCAGAGACATAAACAATTCATAAATATAGCTCATAAACTGAGAGCAGAGAACAAGGTGTGGCCAAGCTAATAAAAAGGGAACCTGCTTCAGAAAAGCTCTCATTTGCACCAATGTGATTGCAAGAGTAATGTGCAGTGAAAGGAAGCTCCTCTGGCCACACCACAGAGAAGTCTATCCTAAAACCCTACCTACCTCAAAGCTCCAAAAATCACTGCTCAGAGAAGGCCAGATGGATAAACAGAAAAAACTTTCTTGGAAATTGGTTTCATCAGATCACGATTGTTTTGATCAGTAAGAAATCTGTGGCAGCATGTATCTTGGCTTCCTGCGCTGTACTTGGCTTTATAAAGGACCTATGTAACCTGGATTCCAACACTAAGGCTCAGTCATAAACAAAACAAAAAATATCTACCATTTTTAAGTAACATCTAATCCTAAAAACAGTCTACATTGCACACTTTAATTGTCACTACATTTCTTTTCACATTTTATTCTTTTAAGGGACTTACCAACCTGCATACTTTTAGTTTCAGAAATGTAGTAGTAATGCATTTCAAGTGGGTAACTACCCTTCTTGCTATCAAAAACAACACAGCTTTTCTATGACAATGGCAGGGAAGTTAAAAAGTAAGCCAGCATTAAATACATTCAATATTAAATACATTTTTTGCAACTTTGAAAATGCAATTTTAGTAGCTAAAAACAAGTCTTGAGATCAGCCCTCCTATCAATGACCTTATCTAAAGATACACTGAAAGGTCTCAGCACCCCTCACGAACTCGCACCTGCCACCAACAAAAAAAGGAAGGTGTAACTTCATAGTTAATGTACATAGCTATTAAAGCAAAGTGAAGAAGAGATTCAACACTAACTTGACCAAATAATGTAGTTTTCTAATCAGACACTTTGCATTTTGCATTTTGTTTGTTTTTTAAAAATATAAATCATTGTCAGAGATAGCAAAAGAAAACCACCCTCAAGAGTAAAAAAACATTTAGTTTAGGTTCTTCTGTAAAAAAAAGCATGAAAGTCCTTATTGTATCACAACTGCTGGTGACTGGAATGATAGTGATGATCAGGAAAGGTCTTTCTTCAACAAGTTTTGTGATGACACCCACTGGGCAGTAAAAAACTGAGAAGAAATTCTACTAATTATAGAAAACAAGTTAATAATACCCTTTCTTTTAATCCCAACCATATTATTATATGGTACTACAGTCACTTTAGGCAACCAGGTAAGTGCTGAATAATAAAAGTAGCTAGTAAGATATGTTTGTATTTTCAATTCCTCCACACCATCTTTCTCTAATCTTTAAGTTAACCCATCAAGTCACAGTGGCTATTACAGTGGCTATTACATTATTGAAACACACAGAGGTGGACAACTTTCTGCAGATTACAGGGCAGTTTGAATCAAATACCTGACATGTCAGTTTCAATATAAGACAAAAGTAGCAGCCCCACCTCCATCCATTGCCAGCTGTTTGTTCCCGCTTACCTGGATATTTTTTCTTATATCAGCATCCATTCAGTTACATGAATCAGATGAGTCAGATGTTGTAGATTAAGACAACTGAGGTATTTTTTTTTTGCTGTCTGTAGAAGATTGTCTGGGTACAGCTCTCCCCCACCACTTAACATCATTAACACATACGTTATTAACATGCATCATTAATGCATATGTATATGCTATGCTACTAAAAAGCAAAATGGACAAATTTTGCTCTGCCTAGTAACTAACTGCACACTACTGTGCCTCTCCTATTTCCTTACAAAGAATACAAGGCATCAGCAAGACTACATTTGAAAAGGCAGAGTTTTTTTTTTGTGTCATTTTACTTTGGTATTCAAGCATTGTCACGCTTTGAATTAAAAGTATACTAACCTCAGTAAAACACTCCTGAAAAATATTAAAGACAGGAAAAAAATAAGGGTGATTTCACTCAGTATTAAATTGTTCAAATTTTCATGGTAGGTGATACAGCCCACTAAACAGGTATATACGGGCACCCAAGGCCACCTAAAAGACAGTGATAACATATTTCTAAGACTACTGCATTTATATCAACAATAGTTGTTTACTAATATAAAAACGTGCATTGTCATCATCACCAATTATTTTATAGTAATTTGTACATTGTAGTATTACATGCATACCTAGTTAATGTGACATACAAAATAAGCCAGTAAGAAATTATCTACCTACAGTAATCTAGAAGTATCTTCAGCTTTAGCAGAGCTGTACATAAATATTGATGAGGCTGCTACATTCTCACAAGTTGTGAGGAATAAAACATTAAAAAATCATATTAATAATTCCCTTCATATTTTCTACCATACTTTTATATGGAGCCATGGAAAAAGGAAGGACACAACAGAAATGCACCCTCAAATTAGTCAGCAATGTAAAATACTAAGCATCAATGTGCTGCATGCTATTTACATGCTAACATGTTTTGTTAATTCAGTGTGGAAATATGTAAAATATGAACAGATGTGCCATGCAAAGCCCTAATTTTGGAACTAAAGTTAGATATTCATTATTCTTTAATTCAGTAAATATAAATCCACACACAAGCACTGCCTCTTCCCTCTCTGACTGTCTGAAGAAAGTTTGAATACAATTAAATTCTTCACAGGCAGAAGATTAAATAAAACCAAAAAAATAATTAAAAAAAAACACAGAACAAATTTAAGTTGCTTTCTAAACAAACATGACATTTTCCCAGGTTATTTATTTTATCCTAATTGAAAGATTCTTAATTTTTAATAGCAACACTTCAACACTTGCTTCCCTTCTGATTTGAGGTTGCTCCTCATTATTCAAGAATACTAGATCTGGTGAATCTAGGAGGTTAAGGGCGTCAAAACTACCAAATGTAAAATACTTCATCCTTTTAAGATTTAAAACAAGACTAACACTGATTGTGTTATAATTAGAATCATATATTCTTCAACACAATATATATGCAAACTGCATTTGGAGCAGTTTCTTAAATGATAGAATGATAGTGTTTCTATGTTACAGATGTAGCACCTTTAAATCATCAATTTAATTCAAAGCAATCCTGGGAAGGATTCATTCACTTACCCGTACCCAGCTGTTGGCCTTCAGTTCCACAGCATTCTGTGGTTCACTGCTGTACAGACAGCACAAGCACCACATCAGAGTCTTCTGGCTTTCATCTGTAGGGAAAAAAGCAAATAAAGATACACTCGGAAAAAAAAACTCAAACAAAACACAGAATTACACACAACAATCTCTATTCATCCACAAAATTGAGGCCCTAAATACCAGCCTCAACTCACGCTGCTTCTATTCTACCAGATTCATACCACACACTTAACATCAATCACTGTATACATCTTGTGTAATAATTTCCTTCAACAGCAGTTTAAATGGTACCAAAGTGTTCAGAATCTATAGAATAGTTAGATATTAAGAAACTTGCAGGACCTAGTAATTAATTCACATAAATAATACCTGAAGCTATATTCAAGGAACTTTCAACTCAGTAAATAATATCGTTAATAATAGACAACAGTCTACAGGAGTAAAATAGTTTATTACATTGTGTGTAAAGCTTGCACAACCCAAGTACACTCAGTTGTAAAAAACTAAATTTTGTGAAGTATGAAATTATTCATAACTAGAATATAAATTGCCAAGTCTTCTGTAAAAATATAGAAAGTCTCCATGCCTCAGGAATATGACATTTCTGCAGACAGCAGAATAGCTAAACGATGATGCAAAAAAATCCTATTCCGATTCTCTGTTAAGGATCAAATTGGGTTTTACTTAATTCTAACCAAGGGTTTGAAATTAGTTCCCTTCTTTTAGAATCCACTATAAAATGAGCACAACTCTTCACTGCTCAGATGAACAGATATTATAGAGGAGCTGATTATCTGAAGTAAGCAGCTGAAGAGCCATTTAACTCATTATTATTTCCCACAACTTTTTTTTCAATAGGCTTTGGTGGTTTTTTTCCTAATGTTATTTGGAACATACTAAGATGTTCTACAGTGAAATTAATGTCAGAACAAAACTGTATGATTGAAATGAAAATTCTGAAAACTGGATGTAGTTCAGATATAATGTTCACTTAGTAAGCAATAAGCTTCTTGTTAAAAAGAATACAAATAAGTGATACTATCAGTTTTAGACATTATGAGACAATTTGATTATCAAGCTGAATAAGTAAATTCTTTTGTTTTCTGTGTATTTGATATCCAGGATGCAATAAACAGTATTATTTAGAAGTGTTTTGTTGAGAAAGCCTGAGGAAAAAATAAAAGGTCCATTAAGTAATGCCTGTATTTTCACCAGATGACCAGAGATGTTAACACTGATTTAAACCAGTATTCCTCAATAAATGTCCAACAAGCCTGGAGGCCATTATTGACCTCCCACTGACTAACATCTCTGCAACAGAAATGGCTTCCCATAAATACATTTTAACCCACCACAGTTCACAGTACTCTGTCATTATCTGTTTGGGGACTTGTTGTAATATGGATTTTTACAAAGCTAAAAATTTCCTATGTTTTCTAATTCTGAAGTTAAAGGACACATCTTGCATATTGCTCAGAAGAAGTTCTTAAACTCTGATTATATCCAACTGGCATTCAGACATCAGCACTAATAGACAGCTATCTCCTTCAAAAGCATCTTTCATCTAAACTCTACTATGACATTATCTGGGAGGAAAAAATAATGAGTGGTTTATTTACTTAAATGACAAAATCATAGCAAATCCCTTCTTGGAAAATAAAGATTTTTAACAGTATTAATTACTAATACTAAACATTGCCTGATTACGAAGTCTGGCTTTAGACATACCCTTTAATTATATAGAAAAAGGGAAGAAGACATCAACTCCAAACCTCTTATCTCAAACAGATACATAGTTCAAGTATTTCTTCTTTTGACTCACACAGTTTATAGTGTACGTCTACAATACATCAATAAGTAATTTTATTTAAAATTTGGTTTTCTTTTAACTTAAAAATTAAGAAAAGAGGTGAAGAAAATACATGTAAATGCTTGAATAAATTTCTGGATAAGAAGATTTTTTTGTTAAATGTGATTACTTGCTGCATACTATAAAATACTGTGCATGTATTGCTGCCTGTCAGAAATGCAAATCAGTATGATGAAAGCTAAAATGAGAAAACAAAGCCTAGATAAACTGAGTTGGCACACTTTGCCAGCATAATAAAACTTCATCCTCAGTGAAACCAACCTATGTTGATCTCATAGATAAGTCAAAAGTTTCTAAAAAATAAGGAACTGGTACAACTTCAGATTTTCCTAGTTCAAAAAATTACTTTTTGGCCAAAACTGAAGTAACCTCCCATAGATCTGTGAAAAATAGGAAAAGGCCCATACAATCCTCTTGCTGATGTACCCCATGACACACTCTGAGGGAAACTCTTGGTTCACTGTTTTCACAGCTGCCCTGGAACAGGGGATGAAAGACGGGACAATTAGGACAGATCTTAAAATAATTACAGCAGCTGCAAAAGATAATCATATCAAAAGACCAAACACAGAGCCATAGAAAACCTAGTGGTTTTTCTCCACCAGCTTTCTAGCAACTGTGGTCTCAATGGTTCAAGACACACACTGAAAAGCATTATCAGGATACAAACAAAGTCATTTGATCTTACTGTGGCATGAAAGGCTGCCTAATACCCAAACAACCAATTAATACATCCACAGAAATGAAATAAAAAACTTGAAGGTGGATATTCCAGCTCAAAAAATATTATCTACCACCTATCTATGGGACTCCTTTAGGGAGGTTAATGCTGCATTCCAACAAAGGGAATAAAAAATTTTTGTAGGAAATTTTAAAGCTGCTTTGGAATAAAAAAAAAATAAATAAAAGAAAAACGAAACACCAACCAAAAAAAGGGAAAAGAACCCTAAAGAAACAAACAAGCAAACAAACAGAAGAATTGAAACAGCTCAAACGAAACAACCAATCAAAAGTCCAAACCTTTATGATGATTTTGTACTTGTTTCCTGCCAATCTCACAACAAAAAAATTATATAAAAAACAGACTAAGAAACAAATGGCATGTTTTTCTAATAACACAATGTAGTCTCAATCACTCCAAGCATATTCAGTTTATAAATACCCTGCAGCCAGTTAGAAGAAAGAAAACCCTAATCTTACAGCCAAAAATATTATTTTTAGAGCTTGTTGTAAAATTTTATTGAAACATATCACAAAATGTGGATAAGCTAACACTCAACTTTCTGTTGAAATGAGTCCATTCACAAGCTTGCATGCTTATACATACACACTGACATATAGAGCCACCAAGAAACCTCCCAGCATTTATATTGTTAGTTTGGGATTTGAGACATTTCGGCTCATAACTCAAACCAGAAAGGCTCTACTGGGAAGATAATCAAACAGCCCATCAAAAAAAAAAAAAAAAAAAAAAAAAAAAAAAAAAAAAAAAAAAAAAAAAAAAAAAAAAAAAAAAAAAACAAACAAACAAACAAAAAAAACCCCAAACAGAAAAAACACCACCACTGGAATTCCTAACTAAAACTGAATTCCTCCTGTACCCCTTGTGGTTCAGGAGCACAAGTACAGCCATGAGATTTTCTTCAGTCGTGCTTCCCTCACATTAGCATTCTAAGTAAGGCTAACTTGATCACCTCCTCCTCAGCAGTGTTTATGAGGAGATTATTTTCCCTCAGAGACCATGCTTCCTGCACTGAGTGGTCAGCCATGTCAGCTTCCAGCACCAACAGACATTCATCTAAGGTGACAGGTATTGTGGTTTGGACATGATGCAAAAGTATAATGTTTTTCCTGCTCCAGTTTTTTAGTATGAAAGACTGAATTGAACACAATTAGTCTCTTCTTCTGTGAGGGTGGCCTGGTCTCGACACATGCCTGAATGAGCTGTTTATCCAAATGAGAAATTATATGAAACCCACTTGAGAGTCAGCATCTGCTATAGCCAGCACTATCTTAACAGAATATTTTCAGAACCAGTGCCAAACAAAATGAAAAGCTGCTGAATCTAAAATGCCACCAGTCCAAAGAGTGCTCAGGTGGCTCTAAGAAGAGGAAGTGGTGGGAATGTATAAGCAGACATTTTCAGGTCTGTTGATGTCAGAAAATCTTTAAGCATTAAAGTGAAGGATTCCATCTTGAGCAAGTAAAGCTTTCTGGCTTGCTTTCCACTTGGAGACAAAAAAAACCCTGTAGTAAGACTTCATTGTCAAGCAAACTTCAGAGGTAATGACCAAATTGCAGAAGAAGTGTTTTTGCAGCTTCAGAAAATGCTGAAGGAATACAAAAAAGTAGAAAGGAGTAGAGGAAAACAAGAATGTATTGCTGGGATTTTTGTGAAAAGGAGCCAAAAGCAGTCACAGATGGCTTTCAACTCTTATGAGAAATATAGGTGAAGCTACTTTCTATAACACAATATACTGTCAGCTCAAAAAAACAGACAGTCTGAAGACTTGCATATTCCAAACAAAAACTTAGAGGAAAAGTGTGTAAACATCAATGGTTACCAACATACTCAAAAACTATGATTAGAAGGGAAACCTCTCCATAACAAAAATACATCTGTAAAGTATGAAAAAGGTTTTCAAAAAGCACACATTTGTTGTTCTGCAAAAATAGTCTATGTCTAAACCTATGGTTCCTTCCCATATTTTGCTTTCAGAGGTGAAATGCTGACATTACACACATCTACTATGTGTTTTACAGACAAGTTCATTTTGCCCATGCTTGGAGCTGTCTAGAAGACAAAGCCAAAACAAGATGAATGCCATGCTTGACTTAATAAGCCCTCCTTTTTATTTTTCTTTTCTTTGCCTTTTTTTTATTTGTAGTTTTAATAAGACCAAAAGCCTGACAAAAAGTTATTTTAAGGGGCTCACGGGGAAGCTCAGAATCAGTTTTCTGCTTATATGAGATCCCAAGTAATTTATCAGAATTTTAACGTCTCAATTCCTGAAAAACGCATCAGAACTGTTGATGATACAGCACAAGGAGTGTCTCCTCCCTCCCAACAGTTTTCCTGTGCCAAATTTATTTGCTCTTATATATTCTCATCCACACACATATTCACCACCAGTAGGAGCATTTAGTTTTTCCATATGCCTTTTTCCTAAGTTACTACGTTACTGTTTTAATTTAGATTCTATGTGCATTTTCACTAAGGATGTAGAAATGGGGGAAATACATTGTAAAGATTCAACAAAAACAAACACAAGCAAAACGTAGACTAATTAAAAAACACACATCAGGAAAGTAATTTTTTCTATCTTTGCATATATGAATATTCTGATACATAGGGAAAGAAACTTCTGTTCAAAGTAATTTGAAGCACTGGATTTTGTACATTTTGAGACTCCAGCAAAATGTAATCAATACCACAAAAAATGAGAATGGAAATCATGATGCACATAAACACTCACTGGGTTTAAAACCTACTGGTCCCAAGTCAAGATTCCATAACTAAACTAGGAAATGAATTTGATCCAAAAGTGAATTTAACATTTCTGAAGGTTATGTATTTTAAATAACACTCATAGTCTTTTCTTCTCAAAATTTTACTTCAGTAAAAAAGAATGCTATGTTTTTATGGAGAAAAAAAATCATAGTATATAACAACTCATATTTTTGTAATTTTTATAGAATAAAGTTTATGTAATTGCTGCAGAAATATCTTAACACATTCTTACCATATCCTATAACAAAAGGATTCCAACAGAGCCGTCCTAGAAGCTGTCCAATTAAAGGGAACTGCTGGATTACTACAGTGGGACCCTGCTAAAACACACACCCAAAAAAAGAGACAATAAATATACTACATCAAAAGTAGATTACAAGACTTGTTAATGATACACATTGTTGTAAATTACAATCCCAATTATTTTACTGTGAATTGTTCTGAAAGCAAAACACCTGCAGGTACGTAAATTTTCTATGTCATCATTCAAGTAAGTTAAAACTTAGGTATTTCCTTACCTAATACTTAACTATGTTAGAAAATATATTAATTTGCCTCACACCCAGCAAGCAGATCAGTATTAGTAACTAGCAAGTATATGATTTCATTGTATTAAAACCTAATTAGCACACATTTTTATTGAGGGTCATTGTTATAATACACTGTCTCACAGTTTCTGAAGAAATTAGTATCTATTATGGCATGAAATTATCTTTGTTAACTTTGTTTGCTTCCTTTAAATGAATTTACTTAATGACAAGTCAGCAAAAAAAAAGACATTTAGCTTCTAAACAAATAGAAAGCAGTTTCACTAGAAAAGTAATAGACAATGTAGTTTATATACAGTCCTGTGTAATCAATCTTATTTTTCCATTTTTGTAGCTTTACTATCTAATAAATGAAGGCTTTGAAAAATAGTGCTGTGCTAATATGCAAGTAGCAGGTATGATTACCATCTCCTGCTACTACAATAAATTCCTTACATTGTCTCATGTTTAGGGCTAAACCAAGACTTTCTGGGGCCATATTCACAAAGCCCATTTCAGGCCATGCCTCAGATTACATGAAGTAGCAACATTTTTTCCCCCTTAAGGAAAAAGAAATATAAATATGGGAAGAAACCCCACTCCCCCAAAAACCTTTACTTAAAATTTAACATTTAAGTAAGTTCAGAAACAAACCTCACTCTGCAGTCTACAGATAAAAATATTTTAAAAGAACAGGTTCCATTAGAAGCAAGCCTTATGCCATAATACAGTACTAAGGCTAATTCTACTGAATATATACACTGAAAAAATGATGCTCAGAAAAGCATACTAGCAACTAAACATGAACAACTACTTTTCTCAAGTGATTGTATACAATAATTAAATTTATTAATAGAAAAGGCAACAGCATTCATTGTGTGTGCCACATCACTGGGGTCAGCAGACCCTCTAAGATTTAAAAGATCAGTCACAGTTTTGCATATTAAGGCCTTTAAATCATCCAATTTATGACCTGACAACCAGAATCAAATTATTCTTTATTTAAAGAGTTTTTTTAAGAGGCTACAGCATTGGCTGGGAAATTTCACATGACATCAACTGATCAAGAAGAAAAAGCCCCTTTCACAATAAATCAGGAAACAGGAAGCACACTCCTGTTTGCATTACCTGCGACTGTTTCCCCAGTTTGCCCCTCGGATCCAGTAGTACCTTAGGTCAACAAGACAAACCTTTTTGCTACTGTTACCGCCTGGTTTTGTCAAAACATGGTGCAGATTGTTTTGGAGGACCTCTTCAAAACAGGTCATTCTTTCTTCTAAAGTCACTTACCAAATGCTTTATTGCTTCATAAAGCTGATGTAGAAATTCCTGGAGCTGGGACAAGTGAAGGCACACATCTTTCTGGGATTCCAAAGTAGTGGCTTGACCCCATTCAATAGCTTTATCCAACCAATACTCAAAGTTCAGTTTGGGCACTGTAGGGTCCTGAGCCATTCCACAATCCTGAAAAGAAGATTTTAACTCCACATCAGGCAGCACTGAACACTGGCTTCAAACCAAAAATGAATATACAAAGAGAGAACTTCCACTACCATTTTGTGTACATACAAGAATGGGGTGTAAGGAGCATCTGTTTACATTTCCTAAGACTGGCAATTTGATTTCCAATATTAAGAAGTTAAATTAATAACCCCCTCATTACAAAATAGTAAAGGGGGAACAGTCATCAGTAAGTTATCTTAGAATAAATGTAACAGCTAGATGTGTTTCAGGCTTTTCTTATCTAAATTTGTCATCATCAATATTCTTCACTCTGAAAATCTGGTCTTTGTGGGATAAACACTATCACCAAGCCAGAACATTAAAATCTAACCAAACTGAACCACTAAAAGATACCAAAAAACAGCATACAATTTTTTCTGCTTTACTATTATATTTTTCTTTGATAGAAGGAAAGAGAATAGCACAGCAAGTAGTAGAACAACCTTTAAATCTCTCTGAAAGAAATATCTCATAGGCTGGAAGACCAAATGAGCTCCTGCAGTCTTTCAATCATTGTTCTTTCTGTCCAAACTGTAAAGATAACTGTCAATTAACAGAATGTGGTGGCAATTTTCAGAAATTAATTGTGGCCCATTGGAGATAAATTCAGACACTCATAGATGCCACAGAAATGAATGAATACGTATCTTTGCAAGTTATAAACCAAAAAAATAAACCAGGACCTCCATAGAAGCATTGCAAGCCAAGCTTGCTTTACACAGCTAAACCTTACAAACACAGGATTTGTACAGCATGCTAAAGGAAGGAAGGCAGGAAGGAAGGAAGGAAGGCAGGAAGGAAGGCAGAAAAGAAGGAAGGAGGGAGGGAGGGAGGAACGAACGAACGAATGAGGAAAGAAGGAAGGAAGAAGGAAAGAAGGAAAGAAGGAAGGAAGGAAGAAGGAAGGAAGAAGGAAAGAAGGAAGGAAGAAGGAAAGAATTAAAGACATAACCCCTAGTGAATCACGACTAAAAGAGGGAGGGAGGGAGGGAGGAACGAACGAACGAACGAATGAACGAACGAGGAAAGAAGGAAGGAAGAAGGAAAGAAGGAAGGAAGGAAGAAGGAAAGAAGGAAGGAAGAAGGAAGGAAGGAAGGAAGGAAAGAAATAAAGACATAACCCCTAGTGAATCACAATTATCATTTGGATCCTGTCCAGGAAAAAAAAAAAAAAATTGAGGCAAAGCTGTTGGATTGCTAGTGTACAATACGTATTTGCCCCACACTCGTCCAAAGACAAGTAAGCAAAGCCACTGCTCTTCTGTTCTTTACTACACTCCCATTTTTATCCGCCACTGTTGCTGTCAGCAGAGTTCTTAAGGGCTCTCTGCAGTGCCAAGATGTTACTGATCCTCTCCAAGTATCAAAACACACTATGAGACTCTCCATCACAGCAGCTGGCTGAAGCAACACAGGTCCCAGTGGCAATCAGCCATCGAACACTTTTATCACCGCAGGGACATAAGAAAGATTTTCAGAACAAGTTGAAGCCAGCAAGTAAACTAACACATATGGTTAAATCAATGAGCCTACTTGATGCTCCCAGACAAGATCAATACTACCAAATAACTGAAAAATCAATCCCTTAATACAACACCTCCTGAAACTTCTAGGAAAGGAGACAAAAAGTAAAAAAAAATCAAAAAAAAGAGGAAGCACAAAAACTCCAGCACTTTGAATTGATTAAGTATTAATTAAGAATCCAAGTAAAGCAAATCAAGCAGGATAATCTAATATACTGAGTACCTGTTTCTACTACTTCAGAATGCAGAATGGCAGAATGGCAAGGCCACCACTCTTTTTTTTCCAGAAGTCTGAAATCCCAGCTCTCCAATAACAAAGGTGTTTTGTCTCCCTGGTTATTACGGCTAAATAAACTGGATTGCACCTTTTTTTTTTTTTTTTTAAGTACTGCTACTATTAAAAAAAACCAAAACAACAGCACAAATTATATGTGAAAGAAAATATTAGAAGTGTTTCTCTCCTCTACACTGATAAAATTGCAAGTGTGCATTTTTTACTGTTTCTGACAGCTAATTCCCTTAAAATACCTGAATATTTTAGATATGAGAAAAGTATTCTCCCATCAACAGATATGCAATAATCACACACAAGACAAAGCAGCTCTATATTCAGTGCTACTCAAACCCTCACCTTGTTGCATGAAAGCACAAATGAAGAGTGTAGACCTAAAACACTCCAGCTATACAATCTAGGGTTCAGAACCTATCCTCAGAAGGGTCAGTCCTGGCCTTGATCCTTCTGCATAATTTTCTGATAAAAATGATACACCACTCTGTTTCTAAAGCAGAGTTCAGAAATATTAGCTGCAGTTTAAAGCTCAATTCATGGATACATTTATGGGCAAAAAAATAGAGGAGTCAGTTTTATATGCATTTCCAAAGTGGATTAAAGGACAAATATATGTGATTTTATGTGCAATTAATTTTCTGAAACTGCTAAAAATCCCAAAAGATGACCAATAAGGAACAAATGATCCATCCCTATGATTAAGGAAGATGTAATCTTCAGTGCATGTTTGGAATAAACCATTTAGAGTGCCATGTAAAAATCTTTGCACTTTTTGGGGCAGGGGGAGGAGGAAGGGTTGTGTACTTCTGTAAAGCTTTGGACACAAACTACTCTTGTAGATTCAATGTTAGCAGAATCCCTTACAGTAACTATTACAACAGTCACATTTACATATTACTTCCTCTGAGTTGAAAAGGACCCATAAGAATCACCATGTCCAACTTTTAAGGGAATGGTCTATGTGGAAACAGAGCCCACGACCTCAGCATTGTTAGTGCCATACTCCAATCCACTGATTGAATGAACCCACTCAGGGTTGAATGTAGATTTTCAATAATCATAATCACAAAAAATGCCAAAAGCATTGCTGCTCACTGTTTTGGAATAGCATCAATTCACTTTCTTTTTTTAATTATGCTGAGATCAACAGAAGAACACAATAAAGTGGCATTTCTAGGAATTGCTGCACTATTCATATAGGCCACTTGTTTAGCATTTACTATGTGCTTCAATTTATCCTTAATCAAGAATGTGATTGATTTAATATACATTAAGATTTTCGGCATCACAACACCACATAGTCCACACTATTTCCAATAGTTCTCTGTTCCCAATAGCATGATTTTTGAGCTATACTTGTTGGTTTCACTGGAAGTTTAACAAATAGTTATTTTATTGATAGTTTACTTCAACTATAGCATCTAATCCCGAAAAGAGCAATTTGATTAATTCAGCTTACTCTTGTCTTCACCCCAACATTACTGGAAAACACACAGAAAAGCTATTGTGTATATATAAATACTGTGAATGATGTATAAATAACCTGATTAAAAAGCAAACATACCAGAGACACAGATTTAATCTCAAAAAACATCACAGGATATAGGATATGGTTTATTAGAAAAATAGAAAACTGTTAGGTAATCAAAGGTAATTTAAATGTTCAGGTCCCAGTATCATACAGAATGTATTTGAAGAGCTACAGGAATCAGAGATAATAAATACTTGATTAATAATTTGACTTTCAATATTGACAACTATATTCCTAGTCTGTTTCAGACTAATTTTCATTATTTTCAATTAGTAAGGACTCATTTTAGCTGCTAAAAATCAAAAACTGATTCTCATTTTGACTGCGTTCTCCACAATATGGCAAATTCAGAAGCCACATTTATTGTGAATCATCTTACAGTTCTTTTACTTCCAGAAAGAAGTCTTCAGCCCTCTTCTCTGAGAACCCCTAGGCAAACCCTCTTGGCCTCATACTTCCAAGCACATGGGGAGCTCTGGTACAAGGGTACTCATTATACCTTTCAAAGTTAATGGCAGCATTTCTAACAAGAAATTTCATTCTGTCAAGTGAGCTATCTGAATAGTTGCTGAAACATACCACTTCAGTTACTAAATTTTCTTACCACATCTTGAGGCAAAGTCCCCAAATCTGGCTTCAGTAGGTTCACAAAAATTACAATTAAACTTTCATGAATTTATTTCTCTTTAATCTTGTAAATTCGGCTGCTGAATTTAAATAAAGCCTTTTAAGTAGAAGGATCTTTGAGGTACTGTTAAGGTGCAATATTTCCTTGTATCACAGCATTCTAAATAAACACAACTAAAATTTGCATTCAAGGTATAAAGCTCTCACTTTGCCTTGAATCAATGATAAGTAGCTCCATGCTCCAAATGAATGTTTTACTTTATCCTCTTCCACCTCCTCTTCCTCCTCCTCTCTTATACCTACCCAACAGCAACCTTAGCTTATGAGGAAAAACACAAAATAAGAAAACAGTTAAAAATACTCTTATAATGTCAGGGCCCAAGGGTCTCAAGCACAACAGGTCACCATTAAGATAACAAAACATATAAATATACACTCCAAATTCCAAACTACTTTTAAGGGGTTTTAATACTTAAAAAGCAGTAGGACAGTCCTTTTTTTGCATATTTATTACTTTAATAAATATTAGGAGACTAATATTACTAATTAGGAGCACTTCAGTATATTATATAATCAAAAGATACCATCATTTTTACTCCTTAATCACTCTTAACTCCATTGTGATACAGCATGGTTGATACAGTAATATAACAAAAGAGTATTAATTTTTCATTGTGTCAAAGATTATTATAATTATGTCACAAATTTACTACCTACTGGATATTCTGAGATTATGCCAAGAAGAAAAAAAAGTAGCAATTATCCTGAACATTATTACCATTTTCTCATTTATTACTTCTCTGCATAAAATATCTATTTCTTTACCTTGTTCTCAAGTATATTTTTCATCTTCACTTTGACAAGTCTCCTTCTGCTTGCCAAGAACAGAAGAATATTCAATATATACTCAGATAGGAAGTAAGAGCAAACATAATTTATTTCCTACTGTAAAGACAATCTGTTATCATCTTCCCCAAAATAAATTTTAAAAATGGTTTATTAGGGAAAAAAAGCATTTTTTTAGAAACTTCAAAAAGGCCCAGGAGTAGTAAAGACTATGTGAAAAATAAAAACATACATTATTTATTCTTGTCATCTTATTTTCCTGTATACTTTCTTGAGAAATAAGCATCACAGGCTGGTTTAATCTACACACACTGGCAGTCCAGCAGTCAAGCATAATCGAGAGAATAACTTCCATTTTCATTTTAGACTGGTGTGCTTACAAGCAGTGTTGATCACTGTTCATTTTTAATTTACTAACTTTTCACATAAAAACAAGTTTGTCTATTTCTCTTTGTGCCTACATCCACAAATATTTTAGAGCAAGGAAAAACAACTATTATAGAAAACTGCCTGTCTACATGTGCACTTTCCAAATTAAAACAAATTGCATGCTACTATATCTTCCCCTGGAAATAAAATCAAAGGACACAATTTTGCTAAAACAAAGGAATCAATACTGGCTAAGCAACCTGTGAAATCCAGCAAACTAAATAGCTGTCAACCAGATGGCTGACATTAATATTCAATGTTTAGACTAAAAATTCTGGAGAAAGTAATTAACTCTTCTATTTTGCTGCTGTGTATTTGTTTCTTCTATTTACTCTGATAATTGGTAATTTAACAAGAGTTGTATTCTGAATTACATTATCAGGTCTCACAGGAAAAAGAGCTCAGTTTCCATCTTTAAGCAACTGTGGCCCCTAGCAGGGCTAATTTTGTGGACAGCAAAATTAAACCTCTTGCACGGGTTTCATATGAGTATCATTGCAAACTGCAAAATTGTATTTACAATTGTATTCTGCTGCTCTGAACGTCTAGAGAAGACCTGATGCCCTGAGGAATCAAGCTTTGCTGGGATTCACAGAACTTCTCCCTTTCTCAGATACTCTGAAAACATTACATCTCCCTCCCCCTGCAAAAGGACTGTGTGATCATGATAAAGTTTTCCTTTACCAGAGGGTGGCTAGCACTGGAACAGGCTCCCCAAGGAAGAGGTCACAGCACCAGCCTGACAGAGCTCAACTGGACAATGCTCTCAGCACAGGGTGTGACTCTTGGGGTGTCCTGTGCAGGGCCAGGAGCTGGACTCAATGATCCTTGTGAGTCCCTTCCAACTCAGCATGTTCTGGGATTTCTATTAATCAGCTTTCATGACCCCAAAATTATTATTTATTTGCATCACACAAAAATTAATTTTAAAACTGTCTAGTTCCAATAGCTCATCTTGTAGCAGCAGATCTTCCCTCTAACTTACCCCATTTCAAGAGGCTTGAAAATAAATAAAACTCTCTTTAATGGGAAAAGCAGAAATAGTATCTCAGCACATCCATCTAACTCTTATCTTCAGGCCACAGGAACAGTGAAAGCAGGAGTGGTATCACTGAATTTTACATATGTTATTTGCTACCTTTCCATCATGAATCTTAACAGGGCAAGACGGCAATCAACTATACTTTCAAACACAAAATATATAAGTACCAACCTACCAATCCAATAATGGATTTTTACGAAGAAACTGAATAAAAAATCTGATCACACTCCACTGTAAGCTACTTATACAATGAACATAACAAATAAGTTACTAATACTCCAACACCACTAGTTCTTTTTTTTTTAAGTTAAATTTAAGAGGAGAAAACAGGCAATAAAATAAGGTACCTTTACATCTCTGGCAGAAGAGTCTATGCAATTTGGCAAAGTACCAAAACATACAATGCCCTAGTTTAAAAGAATTTCAATGTCAGCAGGACCCAGAACAAAATCCAGCAAGACCTACATAAAGCTATCCACACCAAAAGACAGGGTAGATCAACACAACCTTCCAGAATAAAGCCTAATGAAGCCTAAATTTCACATTAGGCTTTCATGACAGTGAGAAGCCCATCCACATAAGAGATTACCAAGCAACTACACTAGAAAAATTAGGCCTTTTAGATAAAATGGTAAATTCTTGTTAGATTAAATCTACTGTTTGTACCCATTCTCCTAAAACAAATCTGCCAACTAATGCATCATTCTCTGTCTTATGGGTTATCTGGGTTATCTGACTATATAGTTCTCATTACCCAATTCTAGCAAATATGAACACAAAACTTCATGTAAGCCAAAGCAAATTGAATGATTTATAGTTACTTAGACAAAGAGCAATTTTTCTACCAAATATAAATTCTTTTTCACTTAAAATGTTTACATGTGGTTACCACTGTCTCCCATAGCTTAAAATCAGTATTAGAGCTTTTATACTGTTATTTCAGACATCTGAAAGATTTTCTTCAACTTCTTCTCTACAGAGTAACACTTCAGGAAAAGAATGGTCTGGGGGTGCTGGTTGGCAGCAGCTCAGGCTGTGCCCGGGCAGCCAGGAGGGCAAACCCCATCCTGGGGTGCATCAGACACAGCAGCACCAGCTGGGATTGGGATCATCCTGCTGGATTCAGCCCTGGTGCAGCCTCACCCTGAGTCCTGTGTGCAGTGCTGGGCCCCACACTCTGATCCCATCCTGGAATGGTCCAGAGGAGGACAACAGAGCTGGTGGAAGGGCTGGAAGGCACATCCTGTGGGGAGAGGCTGAGGGCTCTGGGCTGTCTGGTTTGGAGAGAAGGAGGCTCAGGGGTGACCTCATTGCTTTGTACAGCTCCCTGAGGAGGGGACCTGGAGAGGGGGAAGTGCTAGTCTGTTCCCAGAATTTCTTGGAATCCAGTAACAGGATACGTGCAAATGGTTCAAGCTTTATCACAGGATGTTCAGACTGGACACTGGGAAATCTTTCTTTACAGGAGAGTGGTCAAACACTGGAAGAGGTTTCCTACAGATGTGGTTTTTGCTCCAAGTCTGTCAAGTGCCTTGAAAATATGCATTTATACAATGCACTTAATACCAAAGTTAACATTTGTTCAGCTGTGAACTGGTCAGGCAGTCTGACTAGATGATTTTTGTCCCAGCAAAATAGTCCATTCTGCTCTATTGTGGTCTGAATATGAACCAAAACAATCACCCAAATTTCCCTTATCACAGAACCTCCTCTTCTATCAACTTCTATTTGTATACTTCTTGAGTGGAATACAGAGAAACCTATTTCCTTAAAATTCAGTTCCTCTTTAAAATAAAAAAAATTAGGTAAAGATTAATTCAAAGTTTCACCATGGAATAAACAGGATTTCATGTCAGTTACATACTATAAGCTAACAGTGATGGGGATGTTGCATATACACCAATCCTTGGCACTTTCTTTTTTAGAAATTTAAGTTCCACAATAAACAGATATATTATAAAATAATTCCCTCATGTCCAAGCATGAACAGAAGCTTGTAGATAGCAAGCAAGAACATTAATCCTCTCATCAAAGGAGTCACTTATGACCTCTAACATAGTAGAAAACACGTATTCCTTTGTATTAGTGTATCAAGGAATAGCATTTACTTCCATCTGTATGTACTAAAATTATAAGGAAGCAAGGAGAAAACCTAAAACAGTTCCTGAGAGAGCACAATCATCCTCCAGCTAAGCTGTAGGGGTTGGGAAGGAAAGCAACAGGGACACAACCTGTTTATATGCAGAGAAGAATGACTACTCACCTTTCTTCCTTCAATTAAATAATGAATGAACACTAAGAGGCTTCATATTTCCAATAATGCTTCTATTATAGCCGTGCAACTGCTAAATTCAAGCTTTCCCTCTGGCTTACACAGGTATATGAAAAGAAGACATATGTTCCAAACTCTTTACCTCAAGTATTTGAACATAAGGTAAAATACTGACTGTGTTGTTGATACCCACAGATACTCATACAGTTGGGTTCTAATTCTTATACTAAGAATTTTTATAAGAACCTCTAATACTTATTTTCTAATGAAACACATACCTTACATTGAAATCCCACAGTTCTACAGAGTTAAAGATTTCTGCATAAGGAAACAGAACAGAAAACAATTTCTTCTAAGTCACTGAGGAAACATATGAGGAAACAAAAGAGATGAAACACACAGGAAACACTGTTAAACACTGTTTCTCAAGGCTTTCCTCAAAGATAATCTATTATTCACCTTAAGCTCCTCAAGCATGACATGACAATTTATGCTATGATGATCAATATTCCACCAAAAAGAAAACAACGACCACACAAGAATCCCAAAAGAGTATTTTTTTTCAGTTTATATTACACATACTTACCTTTACATGAACTCTAGTGACAGCTTAATAAGTGTAAGTAAAAAAATCTGTGAAAAGTATTCACAGAGTCCACAGTAAAAGCAAGCCTGCAAATAAAAGAATACACTTCTCTGGCATAAAGGAAAGGAATTTCATACTTTTCCCCCTCCTCTCTCTGACTAGTCACATTCAGAAATAGCTACCAAATAAAATCTTCAGAATAAACATGTATTTATGGCACTAAGAACACCTGACAGAAAAAGAAAAATGTATTCTTCAGAAGAATAAAAACAACTTCATGACATTCACATCAACATTTACACATTTTTGTTGTACATTATCTTAACACACTCTCAGAGATACTTGTCCCTGAAGTCCATTGACAAGGCTTCATGCTATTCACAGGCATTAAATCAGGCCATTCATTCTTCGAAAACAAGAAGTGACACATTTCCGCAGAAACATCTAGAGAAGACTTTTGGTCATTCACTCAGTCAAACTCATATTGCAGCAACAATTATCTATGTGGGCATTTAGACTGAAGAGAGGGAAGTGACATTCATATTGACGGAACAATGATTTGTGCCATTTTCAGTCCATTACTCCTGCATATTTTACGAGCATTTATTTATTAATGCACTACAGAGGATTCTCTGACTTGTCAATAATGCCTCCGTCACATCCACTCACAAAAACCTAACAATTTTGCCCCGGCATGAAACTAAAGCTGTATTTTTCTCTTATTTAATGGAAAGGGAGTTTCTTATGAATGTGGCCAGTTGATGATAAGTGAGAACTTCTAATGCACAGCATAGGAAAAAAAATACTAGCTAGTGGTATGTCTCTTGGCCTCTTCTACTTGGACACTCATTTATGTCAATTTATATTAAAGTCCTATCTGGAATACTTCAATACTGTCACACAGTTAATCAAGATATAGAAAAAAAACATGTCTAATGAATCTACTAATAGGGAGGAAGGACAGCACTTTTGGCTTCAGGAGTCAGACATCTAAGAATCCAATTCTCACTTCTGACACATGACACTAAATAAATCATTAAAGTTAATTAAGTAAGGCTTATTCTGTTGCACCTCTGCAGATGCTTGATTAGTTCTGCTCTGATTATAAAGAATAGTACATTTACTTATATACTTGCTTACTTAAAAAAAAAAAAAATTAAAAATACACAAACTAAAACCAAGTATCTGCTAACATCAGATTTACTTCATTTACAATTTTTTAAAAATCTATTCCTCTCAAAGATTTACAAAGTTCTTTTTGTTGCAGTAGCCTTGTGGGATTTATTTTGCAAGATTACCATAAATGATTCTGCACAGATTAAGCCTGAGCAAGTAATGTGTCTTTTGACTGTGTCCAGTAATACCTGTACAACTCATCACTAGTAAAATTATGAACCCACAGCTCACAGTATTGCTTAGAAACATAATTTCTATTGGAAGTTAAAAATGCATAGAGAAGTACTATGTCACAACCCTACAACCCTCTGCAAGGCTGACAGTTAAAAATTAACAGAAATCTCTCACAAACAGCATCTGACATGGGTCCACCCTTTACTATTACACAAAGTAAAAGCATTCTTAAACAAATGTTAAAGATGCTGCAATCAAAACTTACAAAATTCAGAAGAGTAAATTGCAATTGTTAATAGAAATAATCCAGATTTCTCTTTATAATTTATTATGTATGTTTAATGAGTTTATGATTAATATAATACTAATAAAGAGGATTTTGCACCTCCATAACACTTAACATAATATACATTCCTGTAACTTAGAAAGGAGACTAACTGCATGATCCTACAATGCTCTGGGGAACTGGTGGTATGTGCCACCAAGTCTCAAACACAAAGAATTTTCTAATTCTCAAAGCTGCATGAAAGGAGTTACAGATTTTTAATGAGTATTACCACTGTCTTCATTTTAATAACATTAACAATGACAACAATTTATTATAGCATTAACCAAAAAACATTGTCTGGGAATACCCTTCTTGGTGAAAGTTGAATCATTTAAGATTTGATTTTTGAGAGCTGTCCTACCACTTATACATGTAGCAAGATCTTTAAAATCTAGCATGCTTTTCTGCATTGTTTAGCTCAAGTTGGCTACAAAATATGCTGCATTCATAAAAATAATTTTTAAAAAAATCATCTGATAAATCAAAGACTGAAGATTTCTTCTGGGGAACAATTTCATGCAATATATACATCTTCCTGCAAATGCCAACAATTATTCCATGTACATCAAAGGATTCTAACATTTTCTGAGTGCTTGCTTCAGGAAAAACTTGTTTCACCCATCTCTGTCACCCTTCTAAAATCCTCCACCCAAATGTCTTTTGAAAAACATCTTTGCCAAAAGCAGCACCTTCACAATGGTAGGGCAGGGTATGTTTCTCTGAAACATAAGCCTTATGGAAAAAGAAATTATAGTTTAAAAGTACATTGAGCACCCAAGACTGTTCCACTGATGGAACAACTGTGTCCAGTGCCTTCAAAGGGGTATCTTTCGTTGCTGCAACTCCTCATAACATCACCCCAACTACACCAGTGTCCCTTATGACACTTTACCCATGGTGTCCTCTGCTTAATTTCATGTGCACCCACCCCACTGGTCCATACGCATGTGCTGACCAGATGGAATCACAGAATCATACAGTGTTACGGAGGTGGAATGGACCTGACAGATCATCTAGTCCCAACCCTCCCTGCCACAGGCAGGGACATCACCCACTAGACCAGGTTGCTCAAGGACTTACACAGCCTGGCCTAGAAAACTACCAGGGATGGGGCACCCAGAGCCTCCCTGGGCAGCCTCTTCCAGTGTCTCACCACACTCACAGGAAATAATTTCTTCCTAACATACAACCCGAAGTTCCCCTCCTTCAGTCTGAACCCTTTGCCCCTTGTCTTATCACTACAGTTCCTAATGAAGAGTCCCTCTCCAGCTTCCCTGCAGGCCCCCTTCAGATACTGGAAGGTGGCCAGGAGTTCTCTGCACAACTTTCTCTTCTTCAAGCTGAACAGTCCCAATCTTCTCTGCCTGTCTATGCAAGGGAGGTGATCCAGTCCTGAAGAACTCCTGCCCAAAAATATGGCGACTATCAGTCTTTCTCTTTGACTCTCCCTTCAAATTTTAGAATATATATATAGGAATAGAACCACCAAAATCCTGCTTTCAACCTTGGTTAAAATTACCATGTTCAATCTTTTGTAGCCAAAGACATGGAGAGACAGAATCACACACATCTCACCTCCTGAGAATACAAAGAAAAAAATCACAGCAGTTATTACCAAAACTGGAACCATGCCTATAAGCAATAAGATAACCTCCGAGATCTGTTTCCAACTCAGCTTTTCCCAGTGCCATGTCCCCTGGAGTCAAGTCCTGGCAGAGGGGCCCAGCCCTGCAGTGAGCTGCCCCACCATGCCAAAGGCACCCGAGGCCCTCCCAGCAACACCAAAATCCAACATTTCCATAGGTTTGGCAGCACCTCACGCCACGCCTGCCACAATGCCTCCACCCCCACTTCAAACATCAATTCTTCCAACACAAGTTTTCAGTCTTGAGCTAAGAAGGGGAGATGAGCATAAACCCAAATAATGGAGCAAGTAATGAATGTAACTCAGAACATAAACTGAATTAATTTATTGGGCACAGACAATAAAGCCTTCTTTTCACAAGAGATGAGGGACAGCTTCAGATCCTTTAATTACATATCAGAAAATAAATCCCAAATTCTGAAGATTCTCCTAGTTTTCAAAAGCCCGTCACTAGACTGTTACATTACAGTACTTTTACCTAAAGGATTCTTCACTCAGAGAGAGAGTATTATCCCATTTTAATTATTTTAGTTATTCTCCCACATGAAAAATGGGCATTTGGAACATTTTTGAGAGGAGTGGAAATTTAATGACCTACATTTGTGAATCAAACCCAGAACTTGAAATGTCAAATTCTCCCAGCACTTATGGGACATGACTTCCCTAATCTTTAGTTAAAATAAAAGCCATCTACATTTTTTGACAGTATTCCTTAAAAGCCTACTCTGCTAGAGTTCCTCCACCACAGCAGATGCCTGTGTCAAATTGCACAGTAAAAGAGCTTGCCAAAGTCTGTTGAATCAGAAACAAATCCCCCTCCACCTATCAACCATTTAGGAAGGTATCCGTGTATTGTTGCACCGATCTTGCACATATGTGTCACAAAATGACCTTTTGTCACTATTTCCTCCCCTAGAAGACGGGGGAATAGCAAGACACAGCACAGATGTTGACTCTCTTTGCAGATGTTCGCAGACAGTACCTACACGGTGAATACAGGGCTGGACATGGACTTTTTACAGGGGCATGTAGTGATAGCGCAAAGGGGAATAGCCTCAGAGTAAGTTTAAGCTAAATGTTAGGAAGAAACTTTGCCCAGAGAGTGGTGAGGCACTGGCACAGGCTGCCCAAAGAAGCCGGGGATGCCTGACCCCTGGAAGCGCTGAGCGCCAGGCACGGACACGGCACGGGCACCGCACGGACACGGCACGGGCACCGCACGGACACGGCGCGGACACGGCTCAGACCGCAGCAGGGAGGACGCCGCAGCTCGGGCAGCAGCAGGCCCCCGCCGCCACGGCCACCTTCCCTTCCTCTGCCGACCTCAAAGCCTCACGGAGGGCCGGCCCGGCCCTCGCTGCCCGTGTCACCCCTTCCCGGGCGGGCTCGTCGCCGCCAGCTCCAGCTGAGGGCGGGAGGGGAGGGCGCGGAGCCCGGCGGATGATCCGCACTAGCGCATCCCCTTCCCAGCACGACAGCCCCCGGCCCGCGACCACGGCAGCGGGGCAGGACGGGAGAGAAGCCGCCGCTCCCCTCAGCGCTGCCCCGGTCCGGCGGAGCTCCCGCCCCGCTCCGCTCCGTGCCGCCCCGCGCTTACCGCGCCCGCCCGCCGCACCGTCGGCGCTTTCGCGCGCGCCGCCCGCCGCCTGCGCTGCGCCTGCGCGGAGGGCGGGGCGGGGCCGCCGGCCCCGGCGGGCGGGGGCGGCGTGAGGGGCCGTGCGGCGGGGCGGAGCCGGGCTGCGCTCTTCCGCAAAGCCCGGCTGGCGCTGCAGCGCGCCTGCTGGCACTGAGCCTGAGTTAGAGTTTGGACAGTGCTCTCAGGCTCGTGGTGTGACTCTTGCGGGTGTCCTCCATGGTCCTTGTGGGTCCCTTCCAACTCAGGATATTCTGCGGTTCCTTGGTTGTGACTCAGCTAGCCAGCCGCGCACGCTTGGCATCCTGCCTCAAACACAGGGCTCAGGAGCCGGGGCTGGGGCGGGAGCCCCGTGGGGCTCCAGGGCCAGTGCGTGCCCGGCGGTCCCTGGCGCAGCTGGGCTGGCTGCTCTGGGTGAGCAGTGACATGGGCAAAGCCAGCGTGACCCTGCGCTCAGCTCAGGAGCGGATCCGCAGGGAAACCGAGGTGGCGGCACATGGCAGCCCCGCTGCGGGTTATTCCTCCTCAGCCACCACGCTCTGAACGCTGGCCAGGCCAAGGTGCCTACCCACAGTCTTTGTCCTGGCTCTGACTGTATGACTATGTATGAATAAAACCCTTCAGCTTTGCCACTTTTGGTAAGGCTAAGTGTGAAACGTGTTTAAACTTTTGCTTCTTTGCAGTTTTCTGAGCACAGAAGGTCCTTGTGTCCCTGTAAAAAAAAATGCTATCAGTATGAGTACAGACGTGGAGTAAATAAGAAATTTTGTTTTGAATAAACTTAGGGTTGGAAATAAATATTCGACTTACTGATTTGTGTTGGTGCCAAAATGAGCAATATAGACAGGGTGAACCCTACTGTCCCTCAGTTAGTTATAAAGCATTAGTAAGAAAACTAATATTAGCTTTATTAGTAATAAAACTAATATGTCAGACTTGTACTCTGACACTGGTCCTCAAAACAATCCTACTGAAAATACAAATGCTACACAACCTGACTACTTGGTGCATTTTTGCTCATCACTCCCTAGCCCACTTACACAGTCATACTTAATTCTCTTCCTCTCATTCTTCCTCTTCAGCTCATCTACTCAGCTCCTTCTCCTATTTGCCGTCATAGTTCTCTGACTCCTGCCTGGTTTTGTCTCCATGTTCACTATTTGCAAAATAGAGCTGGTGGGAAGTTGTTATTCTATTTCTATACTATTCTATTACTATGTCTTTTTGAGAAGCTGTCAGCATCTTCCTAGCATCTTCCTCCAAATATGTATTCTTACACCACCTTGTCCTTATTTCCTCCTTGAAGTAACTGGATAGTAAAGCACTCATTACATTCCTACCAATGGAAAAACAAACCAGAAAGAAAGAAAGAACAAAGTCACTAAGGCAAAACTCTGTCTTTTACCTATGTTGAATTGTTACTTTTCATATGGATTTTAAATTAAATTGCAATGACACCATTAGTCTGAATTATAGGCTAGTTTGTATTGGGCTTGTATCCAAGATTTAAAGTCTGCAGGAACATATAACAACCACAGCTCCTGAAGTTAAATTACTTTTTTATTTTCACAATTTTATAAGACCAGCTGATGTTCAAACTCCTAACACCCATTCAGCTTTCATATTTTTGCATTCTTGCATGCTTTCTTTTTTTCTTTTTTAGAGGTTGCCTCTGTTATGATCACCACTGCTTTCAATTTTCTATAAAATGAGACATCCCTATCAGTACAAAAGCAAATTCAACCTACCCATATAGTAAAATCCCCATGCATTACTTAAATTACTTTTTTACATTTCATCCTACCAAATCAAAAACACCTGATGAATTAAAGGCTTGTTTGTGAAAGTTTCAAAGTTTTTTCTTGGGAAACAGCAACTGGTCATCAGGCAACCCATCAAGAAAAACTGTCAGGAATGTTTCCCATACATCCAACACTTTTGCAGACCACAACTCAGAGCTTTTTATGTAATACCCATAATCACACAGTGAGTCCAGTTCATAACTCTTTTAATCATTCTACTCCTCCTTTTTGTCAAGTGAAAACATGGAAGAATTTGTATTTGTTTTCTAACATGAATTGTATTAACACTTTCTTAAATGTCAGCATTATTAGTTATTTCATCCATGACACTTTTTATGTTTCTGGTACACTGGAAGAAGCTTGAGTGGAAAAAGTTTGATAACATCATTTTTCACGTTCCTGACTGAACATATTCCAGAGTTGTCCAAAGTGTATTTCTGTCCCATAGTCAGAGTAGCAAAAAGCTGCCTTTGTTACTCAGCCTGATGCTTACACCATCAACTTAGACAATTTTGTTTGCTGCTCAACAAGTCAACCGCACTAAAAGTTCTTATGCACAGCTGAATATATGGCTAAAGATCACTGTAATACACAAGGAACTGTAAAAAATAAACCCAGGAATTAAAAAAAAAAGCCACGCTAGAGCATTTAAGAAAGTCATGGGAAAGGGTATAATAGGCAAATAGGAGCAAAAAAGAAAAAAAAAGGAGCAAATAAAAAACAAATACGAAAGTAAACTACTAATATAAATAAACTCCAGTAGGTGGAAAGAACTTGATAATATTACCTTCAAAGCACCCTAATTTTAAATAGTAAAAAAAAAAGTGGCAATGATAAGAATAATGAAATAGGTAGAACAAATCAAGTGAATGCCAATACAAATGTTATATTACTTCAGACAGTCTGTATGGAGTTTGCCACTCCCACTTTTAACAAATGCAAAACATTTGAGGTTAAAAAATATTATGTGGACTATTTCTTTAGCCTTGATCCTTAATAACAGATCCTATGACATATAGAGCTAATACAGCTGCCTTAGAGAATTACTAATAGTAAATCTCTGACACTTAGAAATAATATTTGAAACTACTAAGTCACCAGAAATAGTACTGCGATAAATAAGAATTCCATGACTTCAAACCCTGAATATTTCAGAAAGGATATTCCACATACCAGAGAATTCCTGGCTGGTCTCTCAGAATCCTAGCAATCTCCTCTTCCCCAATGTATGTTGCAAAAGCCCCTCATTAAGCTTTGCATTTTGAGGAGACACAGCAGATACTATACTTCGGTTCACAGTAAAATATCTACATTTGATCTTTTGGCCAGTATTAATTTGGTAGGAAAAAATGCCTCTGTTAGGGGAAGAGAAAGAAATATATATTTGACAAGTTTGAGGGGAAAAAGGGAGAGAGGGAAGAAAAAAAAAAAAAGGAAAAGTCCCAGCTGTTTGAAGCTTTTCATAAGTTTGGAATGTTAGACCAATGGGATGAACTGCAGGTGAGGCACACAAGGGTGCATGGTAAATATAATTATCAATGCATATGGCCACCACATACGTAATATATTTTAGGCACATCGTAATGATTAGCTACAGATACTGCTCTATGCAACAGACAAGTACCAAGCAAAATGCCCCCAGACCCCTTAGCTGAGCACATACCTTCATGTAGATCTGTGGCTAGCTCAAGATGGTTGGTACAAGATAACAAAGAGCTGAGGTAAATGCTGCAGCCATATTGTTGTCCTTTACAGAGGGGATGGAGGAACTACATGACCACTGCAGTGGCAAGCAAAGCATAAATCATATTCAAGAGACTTCCAGAGAAGACCACAGTGTGTAACAAGTCATCAATAGATTCTAGTGTGTTACTGTTTGCTAGCCACTATTTCTGAATAGGCAGATGTGACATTTCTAGATGCTGATTATATATTTGAAAATTAAAATACTAAAAATACTCTGATACTATAATAAAATACTAAATACCACTAAAATACTGTATTTTGGGCAGCTGTTAGCTGAATAGTTGGGCATGTTGTCTTCCATGAGTTCTAGGTGTTCATTTTCTCCTGTATCTCCCATTTGATATGCAGTATAATTTCATGGTTGCTTATGCTTTTCCATTAATGAAACTGTCTTCAGTAAGAAGAAGGGAGTTGCTTCTTGGAGGCATCAGAGTCTGCAAATCCTGTGAGTGAGCAGTGCATGCCACACAGTATGTTCACACTGGAATAATTTTATCTCTCCTTTTTTTTATTTTTCATTGATTTGGAACATAGCTCCTGTTGATTTGACATTCTGGGGATGTTTACTACCTCCTGAGCAGGACAGGAACATTTTCTCTGTTCTGTATCCCAAGGGATAGATTAATATGTTTGATTTCTTCTTAATGCAAACACCATTAACTCTTCAGCTGAGGAGCCTCTGAAGGATTCAAAAAAATTGGCTCTGAACCAACCAGTGCTGTTAAATGTTCCTTAAACCAGAACCTGAGGAGTTCTCCTAGGAGTTCTCCTTTTAAGGCTGACCACTTATTTCTCAGACTGGTATAAAACATAGTCACAAGGATAAAATTTGAAAATTGTACCATCTATCAATCACTTAGCTAATCTTGAAACAGTCAAGTTTTTCATTATTTGTCTTATTATGTATCTTTCCAAAATGTTATTAGAGAAGCTGAAGTGTTTAGGTTGGTCATTATGTTTCTATTTAAAGTTTGTAAATTTTCTTGTGGAAAATAATCCTGAAAATAAATCCTTTCCCTGTACCTGTCTGAACTTACAGCAGGTCCTATACAAAGAAAGCATGAATTACATCAATAATTCTCAAGACACTGAGACAATAAAAATTTTAAAAAATCTTTCATGATGTCCTGCTGCTATTGTGTCCTGCTGAACCCTTGAATACTGGAGAGCATTTCCAAAGTTTGTTCCACAGAATCAAGCACAGTACATAGTAAGCAGAGAGCTTAGTAATTTCTGTGGTATTCCTTATTGATATTCTAACAAGTTGCTATAATATATACAGAAGAAGCATGAAACACCTCCGACAGGATGGAAAGTTAGTGACTTTGCCTTGACCTGTTCTCTTACAGACAGCTATTAACAGTATTTCATACTCCAGTGAGCATTTCAGTTTCATGTGTGTGACTATATTCCTTCCTGCTTTATATAAAATATTCTCCTTAACTAAAAGAGGTG